CATTATTTATGTTATACAGAGGATATTTGGGTTTCAAAGTGTCAAAGGTTACCGGAGCCAAATTTAGGTGTAGTTAGAGCTTCTATTGCGCCAGGGAAATGGAGCTGGCGACACACGACATGAGCATCCTTTATGTCCCAGTAGCTATTACACACAGTCCCCCAAATTCCCTTTAGAAAGATCTCCACACGGCCGTCAGCGTTATCTTGACCACCAACCAGCCTGATAGATCCTTCCACTTGACCTAAAGAGAAAAAAGGATAACGTTAAGTCATCTGAGGCCAATGTTACTCCATAAAATGAAAAAAAAAATACAATGTCAGCAATGTCTGCTTAATTTAATTCTATGAGCTGAGGGTTTGCTTTGCTCTCAATCCTTAAATAATCTCAATGTTTCATGTAGAAGTTATGTGATTTATGGATCAACAGTGTTAACTTTGATTTCTTTTTTTTAATCTTTTAATATATTTTGGGCCAGAGAGTGCCTTTATTTGAGATGTAGAAAAAAGCACAAAGCCAAACAAGATGGGATGGTGGGTAAATAACAAAAAGGTTACTGTCCTAAAAGTATAGTGCACTAGTCAAAGTCCAGATCTAAATCTCATCGAGAATCTGGGGCACAGTTTGAAAGCTGCCGTACACAAACATTCTCCAACCAACCTGAACAACCTGGAGCAAATCTGCAAAGAAACTCGAGCAGAAATCCCTCCTAACAGTCGCCAAGCTGGAAGATACTTTCCCAAAAAGACAGCAAATGGTGGCTCTACACATACTAATGCATAGGGGTTGTATACTTCTCCAAGCAACACTTTTTAGTTTTTGTATTCTCTTTTAAAGATCTGCTGATGGATGATTAATTCAATATATACTGTTAACACATAAAGGTTTGCTATTAAAACACTGACTATACAGACTGGAACATTTACAAAGTGTAATCCAGTCAAATCTGATACGTTCCCCTGTACTGCTACGTCCCCCCGTTTTGCCTTGAAGCAGCCTCTTTTTTTCTGTAGGGTTATGTCACTTGACATGCCCACTACGCAACTGAAACAAACATTTCGTTTTCTAGAAGATAAGATAGTTATCTGGGGTAAATGTATCTAATTTTGCAAACTTTGCTTGAACATAAACAGCACCATATCTTCAGAAGTTAAGAGCAGTTTACTCACCAGCAGACAAGCTTACGCTCAGGGAAAGAAAGCAGAATAATAGCAAAGTATTTTCGTTCATCTTTAGTCTGGAAAGATATAAGGAAGGAACATTCAGGACATTTGTCAAATAGTGAGTGTTCACAAAAGTCTCTTTACACCCAGAGATAAGATTTTCAATTATATTTTACAGCCCGTTTTAGGATTTTAAAAAGTGTTATGAAGCCAGATATGTCACTAGAGAGCAACAAGTATAGTACCAACGTTTTTGTAGCAGTGTTGGTTCTAAAAGGAAAACCGTTATATGATGGCTTAATACACACAACAGACAAACACAATTTTGCTAAACATATCTATGTCATGACAGAAATGTTGCATAGTAATAACAAATTGTCCTTAATTTGATCCTATGTGTCTGTATACCCAAAGAAATGTGGATGCAATAAGTATATTCTGGTAAAAGTAGGCATTAACTTACCAGCACTCAAAATGAATTGAAGAAAGTCTGCTGATTGAAGAAAGAATAGTACAACTTACAAATGGTCTGTATTACTTCCCAGGAATAACCCCTCCCACTAAAGGGGTGTTTCCAAGAAATTGTTTTGAAATCCACATTTTATTTTTACACTGTAAGAATATAAATACCTTTAATAAAAAGGTTTTAAACACTCAAGTAAAGTACAATTATATCAAAATAGCAGTGGTGGAAAGTAACTATTTACTCAAGTATTGTACATTAGTAGGCCTACTTGTTTGACATATTTATACTTTACTTGAGTATACGTTATACAGTACTTGATGATATGGTATAATGCCGTACTGTACTATTAATCGGCTCAGTATTTCTAGTATCTAAATTTGGACCAAATGGACCAACTACTGTAGAAGTAATCTTTAAACTTACAAAATAATCATCCATCATTGGAAGCCTTGTTTCTTGTGTCAGTTGGTAATCCTTTGTACCATGATTGTTTATCGATCTGCTAGCAGTGTGTTTTTCTGCTGAATAATGTTAAAGACCGAACATGTGATTATTGATGGTTGAAATGTGCAGTGCTACATAAGCCGAAATAGAGTACAAGATTCTCTCATTCTTTAGATACATACTCTTGGCGGACTTGACGCAAGTATTCTGTTTCTGTTTTACTGTTGTACAACAAAATAATATTTACTTCAATAAACAGTGTGTCTGTGGTTCTACTTTGCTATTTCCTAATGCCTGGAGTGTTTAAGGTTTCAGATCCATGATACAACACTAAAATCCCCTTACATAACCAAAAACAGGATAATATAATAATAACCATAATAATATAATACTGTGTAGTATATATACCTACTGTGATCCATTCTACACAACCAGTGGTGGAGGAAGTACTTAAGTTAAAGTAGAAATACTACAGTTTATAATACTCTGTTACAAGTGATAGTCCTTCATTTAAAACCTTACTTAAGTAAAAGTAGAGAAGTATTGCAGGGTTGCCAACTCTCACGCATCTGGCGTGTGACACACGCTTTCACTCTCAATCTCACGCTCTCACGCTGCCCAACTATTCTCACGCCAAAAACAAGAATACCGAAGACTAGAAACGGTTTTGAAAACTTTTGTCACGTAGTGATCGACTTCTCAATAGAACATCTTTGATAATGTCTTCTGGCCAATCAGAATCAAGATAACGGCGTGGTGTTGTTGCAGGAAGTCCCGACGGAGAATACTTTTGCTGTAAGACCCCACGGTTTGATGATTTTTTTTATTTGATTTTTTTTTATTTGATGAGGTGTGTGGGCTGTCTTTCATTTTTACACACAGAACAATGGAGGCTATCCACCCTTGTCCACAATGTAAAGTAATTCACACAGCCTCTTCTCTCAGTGAGCAGCAGGTTCAGCTTTCAGAACAAAGTAACAAAAAACTAAAAAGGCATACATTTTTTTAAATATGTCGTGTTGTAATAGATAAAAACATTTTCTTCTCAAGAGAGTAGCCTACCAGAATGTGTATGTTATGTTAGTATTTCAAAAAATCTCCTGGGGGAGAATCCCCCCAGACACCCCTGCAGGGGTTGGGTTTTCAGCATATCAACTCTTTCACCTGTGGGGAAATTGCAGGATTGGCT